ACATGGGTTCTTTAAACCCTCCGTGTCAATAGAGTCTCCAGAGCAAAATAATGGCATCAGTCTGTGTGGGAGTTAATGTGAGCTGATAGCATGAAGGCTGGGGGTCAGGGGGTCAGGGGCTGGTGGTGGGCTGACAGAGAGCTGAATGCCTGCCCTCCTCTGCTGCACCCTAGTTCCTCTTCAGCTCAGAACCTGAAGGGCAGTGATGAAGGGAGGAAGGTCAGCGGAGGAAGCCGGCTGATCGGGGTTGGCGGTTTGAGCCCCTCGCTCCAAACCCTCCCTCCAGACGGAGCGTAAATCAAAGGCAAAATGTGGACCAACCAAACCAGGAAACGCAGTTAACGCAGGTCACCTCACACTGAGCCGCGGTCAGTGAGCAGCGGTCAGTGAGCAGTGGTCAGTGAGCCGTGGTCAGTGAGCCGCGGTCAGTGAGCAGCGACGTGATGATGTGTGACAGTGGCGTGTCGGCCCGTTCATCTGGTGGCCCGTGGACCGACCACGGCCGGAACTTTCTGTTCGTATTCTACATAGCAACACATGGAGCGATGTGCTGATTGGACGTCAGTCGTACTGATAATAAGATGTTTTTTTTTTAGTTATATGTCTGATATTAGCTTTTTACCAATATGTTGGATATTGTCCGAACACTTTCCAATTCCGATATCAACAGATACCAAAACATGTAGCTGTTTTTAGGTCACATCTCATATGTCCTGTCGTGCAATTAAAAACATTACCTAGTTTTATCGTAATGGCCCACTAGAGGCAGTCTACAAATTAGCATTGTCTGAACAAAATGCATTTTTAAGCATTGCGTTGTGTTATCGGGGTTTTCGTTATCGGACGTCATGTGTTTGGAGTGTTATGGCTCTGGACCTTCTTCAAGAAATGGACCTTTGACTCATTGAAATATTTCATCTGACCACACGGCATTACTATGTCCACGACCACACTCCCTCCTCCCTCCACCCTCTTACCTTCAATCATCTAAAAACATGTCTTTGTGGAACGTCAGTATTTGAATTTGAGTACTTCAGGTCGAGACCGTTAGTCGATGATGTATTTTTGTTTTATCGTCTGTGTACAGTATCATCAGTTACTGATGTTTTGTCTTCAAACACCTTCAACTGAGTCATTAGTACCATCAGAGTTTCATACTGTAATACTTCATGATACTTCACCTCATGACATCCATAACATCCCACGCCTCCGTCGTCAGTGGATCCTGGAGGACTTGGTGTGAGTCCAGGATCCAGTCTGGTTCAGTCTCCCACCCTTAGTAAAAACACAGAGAGAAAAACATCTAAGTGTGTTTGAAGACTTCCTCTCCCGTCCTCCCTTCCTCCCCCATTAAACATCATTCTCCTCACTTCAAGGGGAATTACTGTGGTGCAAAAAAAAAAAAAAAAAGTTCGCAGGCCTAGCAGAGCAAACATTAATTCTCGGCCCTCCTTTCTCCCTCTCCTCAGACACTGGTACCTCCCTGGGCTCCTCCACCACCGCCGGTCATCGCTCTCACTGGTGCAGCGTTGCCTACTGGGAGCAGCGCACTCGTGTGGGTCGCCTCTATCCAGCCTACGAGCCCTCGCTCAGCATCTTCTATGACCTACCTCAGGGCACGGGCCTCTGCCTGGGCCAGCTTCACGCAAACGCCTACCACAGCCGCCGCGAAGACCCCGGCAGCCCGGGCGCCATGGGCCTCACGGGACACCCCATTCACGACGGAGGACGACACAGCAGCAGCAGCAGCAGCAGCAGCAGCGTGCAGCAGATCCGCAGTAAAATCGGGTTCGGCATCGTGCTGAGCCGCGAGGCGGACGGCGTGTGGGTGTACAATCGCAGCCAGCACCCCGTGTTCGTCCACTCACCCACTCTCGACCCCCCCGGTGCTCGGGGTCTGAGCGTGAAGAAGGTGATGCCCGGTTTCTCGCTAAAAGTCTTTGACTATGAGCGCTCCAGCTGGATGGCTGAGCACGACCTGAAGCCCGGGAGCTGCGAGGGGCCGTGGGACCCCCACAGTGTCCGCATCAGCTTCGTCAAAGGATGGGGTCCGTGCTACTCCAGACAGTTCATCACTTCCTGTCCCTGCTGGCTGGAGGTGCTGCTCAATAACCACAGATAACACACACACACACACACACACACTCACACACACACACACACACTCGGTTTCCAGACCCAGTATCTTAATTGTAATCTACCTAGATTTAATATAAAATTTATATATTATATAAAATATATTATACCTGTAAATATTTGAGTCATTTTTACAATGCAACTATTTATGTTTAGTATCATGCGTTTGAGGACAAAAATAAAACCAGGAACCAGAATATACACCTTTAGTTCTATATACGCCTAACGGAGTCCTTTTTGCAGATGTAAACTGTAAGAATGAACCACAGAGCTGGGCTGCGTTCTCATGATTTAAGTATTCCATCAAAATGTATGCCATACACAGGTTGTCAATAAAGTATTTGTATTAAACCTGACTGGCTGTGGTGCTGTTTGTTCGCTCTGCTCCATTTCTGTCCTGTTTCTCCGCTCAGTTCTTGTTTACCTTTGAATAACTGTCTCTGAGTGTGGCTTAATATTTAATGTGAGTGATATTGATTTTTACTCATTTCCTTTCATCAAACGCGCGCCGTCTTCCATGGATGGTAAAAAGGAGCAGAAAAGTCCGGTGGGTCAAATCTGCTCTGTTTGTTACAGTGAGAGTGAAAAAAAAATGCTACAAATTAAAAAAAACATTTCTAAAAGATCACATGAGCCGCTGGATGACACACCCTCAGACCTAAGACCTTCCAGGTTTGATGAAACACATCATTATTTTTCAACCTTGGGGTCGTGACACCTGGAATGTCAAGAAATTGTTTAAAAAAACATTAATTATTATATAATAATTATCAAATTAAATAATTAAAACTCAACACAACAAAAACAAATCCTAGACAAAAAAATTGTTGGGATTTTTGTATAGAATTATGTTGGGAACCATTGTTCTAAAGTCTCCCAACCCCCTTGTGGCTGCAGCTCCCCTGGTGGGCATAAGAAGAAGCATTTTTTTGTATTAAATACCTCATAATAACTATATAATTATTCAGGTTCAGATATTTATATTTATAAGAAGCATTTTTTTGTATTAAATACCTCAAAATAATAATATAGGTTCAGATATTTATATTTGTACTTTTTTTTTTGATTATCTCATACAATTCTAGTTCCCCATCCTCCAAATTGTGGCCCACCTGAGGGTCGCGACCCAGTCTTTGGGAAACAATGACGTAAGAAACACAAACCGTGTTGAAAACCTCTAAAAAGGTTTAGTGTTACGAACATAAAGGGATGAAACGGTTCTGAAGACAGTGTTTGTTCTGAGTTTGATTTGACTGCGTGTTTTGATCTCTGGATTCTTCTGCGCTCACTGTCTTCAAAACCCACTGCAACTGTATAAATCATCATTAACTTTTAACTCGCTCCCTGGCACCGGAAGGGACCAGCAGCGGTGGAAAACAGTTAGCGGCGTCATCGTGCCAGTGGTTAGAAAATGAAGCGCATAACTTCAGGATTACACAACAAACCACTTTAAGGAACTCGGGGCCAAAAACCAACTCTGGCGGGAGAAAGTTGTGTGTTTATAACATAATGGCATCCTGTTTGAGTCTTTCAGCAACACAATTATTTATGGAAACTCATATTTGGAGTAAGATGAGAGGTCGAACGAACACAAAGAGCAGCAGAGGGCAGCGAAGACCTCGTAACCTTTGAGGAGCAACGGCGGCTAACTCAACTTAGCTCGGCCCGTTCAGAGCAGGCAGGCATTTTTGTTTTTGACCCCGAACCTCCGCGGGCTGCTGCTGCTGCTGCTGATGCTGATGCGTAGCCTATAATTAACGTTAGCTGGAAAAGTAGAGAAGTCTTGATTACAAAGTTGCAACACTGGCAGCAGCGTTGCAGTCAAACAAGCCTTCAGCGTTGCAGTATATGATCTCAGTCATTACTTAAAAATACAAACCACAGGAACAAGGACACAGAAGCATGTGGCATCTGCAGTGGAGCGCTGAAACAGTAAGTGTGAACTCTTTGTGCAAACAAAAGGCACAAAAAGAAATCCCATGTTTTTTCATTCACTCCCCAAAATTCCAATGTATATTTGAGTCAAGTCTCCTCTCTGCTTTTTCAGGCAAAGTGTGGGATTTGTGGTCAGGATACAATGGAAGGATTCAGAGGAGGGGCTGGGCCTGGAGAGCTGCTGCTGCTGCTGCTGCTGCTGCTGCTGCTCCAGGATCTGGTACCAGGTTTCTTTTCCATGTCGCTTTTTGTTTTTTCTTTGTTTTTTTTTTTTTTTTGCTTTTGTTTTTTTCATCAGAAAACACCACTGCCCAATCTGTTTTGTTTTTTCTTCCACAGGACTCAGAGTCATGGAGACCATGAAATGGATCCCAGGCAGTGGAGTCAGGCAGGCAGGCAGTGGAGGAGGGATCCTGGCGCTGGGCTCCGGGGCTGCGGTGTGCACTGACCTCACAGTGAACTGAAGGAGAGCGGCAGAATCCTGCTGCCTGCTCCGGAGCTCCGCCCCTTCACTGGGTAATTATAGTCACTGCTGTTTTAATGTTGTAATTATGTTAATGAATACATCAGGAAAAAGTAATTAATGGAAGACACGTTCTGAGATGAGTGGTTACGAGAAGGTTCAAATCTCTGAGCTCTTTAATTGTAACCCACGTATTTTGGCTGCATGAGTTTAAGACCCACCTGGGTTTTTAGGTCCAGCCCAGAAAATGGAACTGGATGTTTGTTTATGACTCAACGTTTAACTGAAAAAGAAAGTGGTTACAAATGTATATATGCATATATGCACATATATACACGTATAAATATTTAAATACATACATATATGTGGAATTAAAGTCAAACAAAATATAATATTATGTATATATATATACATATATGTGGAATTAAAGTCAAACGAAATATAATAATATGTATATATATACACATATATGTACATATAAATATATATATATTTAGTTTATATATATACATGCACATACATGTATATATATATAAATATATATACATATCTACATATATGTTGAATGGAAGTCAAATATTATGTGTCTGTATATATGTATAAAATATAAACATATATATGTACATGCACATATATATCGTCTGAAAACGTAGCAGCAGATGAGTAAAAATGCAGAAAACCCAAATGCACCCCCCCCCCCCCCCCCCCCCGGTTCTCTTCAGTGACTTGGTTCCTCCCAGAACCTTAAATACAGGCTTGTTTCCTGGAGGAACCTTTTACTGAAACACCTGCAGCGACACATGGAGGAAACAGAAGGTGAGAGTCTCTGGTCACTGACACACGGCAGCAGCGTTTGAAATCACAGACCGTTCACTGAAAACTACTCCACTGGTATTCAGGTGTTTGTTTGTGGTACATGTACTGCATACTATTCTTAACGTGGTATTTGTGTGCAGTACCTCATCAGGGTTGTTATCTATGACCTTTGATGATATTTCTGAAATCAAATCACAGATACATTTTGATTTATCATTTTGATTTGCTGATCAAACAGTAAGAGTAAGCTGTATATATTTGTGTATTTACTACAATAAGTCTCTACAGTCATGATTGATACCGAAGCCTCGTTGGACTTTTTCCACTTCCAGGTTTTCATTTATCTTCTGCTTTTTCAGGGTCACAGGAACTGGAACCGATCAGCCCATCAGGTACTGTTTTTTTTTAACAAAAAACATGTTAAATCAATGTATATATGTATGTACGTATATATATATGTATATATACATATAATTCTACTGGTCATTCACTTATCATTGGTCAGTGAGTCTAGTCCAACTCATCAGACCAACCTGGGACAGCACATGACAGTCGGTCTACGACTGACAGACCAACAGTCCGATGGACTGAACCGTAGACTGATGAACATTGTTGACAACAACTTCACCAAAGTTTTGAAACAAACTCTTGAATGTGCTGCACAGTGATGACAAAAACCCACCAACTTTACAAAGCTGTAATCTGAGTTGAAGTTTTTCTATATTTTTCTCGACTTTTCCCAAATCATTAATTCCCTCTTTTGGATTTGTCACAAATAAAAGCAGATGTGAAACATCCACTTCTACCTGCTGTTGTTTTTGTCTTCCTGTTCAATCATTATTATGTTTATGACCCTTCACCTTCATTTATACTGACAGACAGTGATGTGATTAATCCTGATTAATCCATAGCGCCCCTGTGATTAATCTGATTATAAATGATCCTTTTGATTGACGGCTGTAACGTCTCTGTGACCGTCAGAGTTCAGCTGAGCTGAAATGTGAGCCGTGGGTGGGGAAATGTGAAACATCACCATATGAAAACGCTCCGACCTCAACTCCTCCGTCTTCGTTTGACGTTCCACCATCACGTTCCTGTCAGTGTTTTGTCACTGTGCTGCTCGGAGTACACAGGGATCGATGCGGCCGCCGTTCGCCAGTGCTCCTGTGTGAAACCGCAGACAGCTCAGACGGCTCCTCACCGTGTTGGCACATCACTGTCGATTAATGTCAGCTCACGTCCACACTCTGACAGATGAGCGCCGCGTACAGCAGCGGCTGCTCAAAGGTAAAGGCTAAACAAAGGTAAACTATGGCTTTGATTTTTATTTTTTATTTTTTACTGCCTTTCCTTTCTTGTTAGATAGGATTTTTTTGAGTGAAAATACTGTATATTTGAAAGATATTTCAGAATATTTTTGTTTACATCGCAGATGTACAGTATGATCACATAAGCTAACCTAGCTTGATAGCAAAGCCTCAACACGTTGAGGCCAGTGGGAGGGTGTCTGATGTCAAGAAAAAATATTGCAAAAGTAAGATGCTGCGATGCATGAGCCAATCAGCATGAGGAACAGAAGAGCATGCTCAATTAGCTAATAGTACAATGTATGCATTGTATTAGCCAATAGTACGCTGTATACAATCTCATCTAGGGAAACAAAGCTACCGGCGATTGTTCGCAAATTCGCTTATTTAAATTTCCAAATTGAGAATCCACAATTTTAAAGCCAACGCAAATTCGCTTATTTAAATTTCCAAAATCAGAATCCACAACTTTAGAGCCAAAAAAATTAAATTTCCAAATTGAGAATCCACAATTTTAAAGCCAAAAAAAGATTAGATTAAAAAAAAAAAATCTAGAACAACGACCAATGAATGGACGGAGGAGGAAATATTAGATTTACACTGTATGTCATTCATGTTCAGATTAAAAAAAAAATTGGATCAAGACTCAAATTAATTAATGAGATTCGCCCTAAAAAATACCTGTGTTTATGTAAAAATAAATAAATGAACGGGAGTGAAGGGTGTCCTGGTCTGAGAGACCTGTGATCCTGGAGGTCGAGTCCTGACTGAACTGAAGTTCCACCATAAAGACCGGCCTGGTCTGGAGCTGCTCCCTCCTGTGAACCAGTGAGTTTGCTGTTTATTTTCCACTCTGTCTTTGTTTTGTTCCTTTAAGCAGCGTGTC